ACATATTTGTTTCAAAAGCATATAAAATTTCATAAAATCAAACTACCGTATTGAAAGAAGTCACCAACCTGTTCTATTATTATATACTGTTGTATAATGTCCAGCTCTATCAGCTAGGTTTAATTCACGAATTGCTGTTGGTTGACAGCTATTAACAGGACTAAAATTCAAATTAAAGCATTTTTTATGAGAAAAATCTTCCTGAAAGTCCCGTCAGACAACAAGCAAAATTGTTACTGCTATAGAATATATCAATTGGATAATTTACTTTTCAAAATGTTTTAATGTCTCCAGACCTATATTTTCATTGCCATTATAAACATCATTGTGCAAATTCAAAACGTTATTTCAATAGATACATTACCTGAAACCTTTTTCTACACTCAATAGTTCACCATTATTGGTATGAATAATGTATCTCTGTTGAGATATTGTACTCTTATCTCCTGATATATATACAGTTTTCTTTAAAACATTCCAATTACCAACAAACTATATGAACAATAATATATTAATTCAGAACTATATAAACAATAATATATTAATTCAGAACTATATAAACAATATATTAATTCAGAACTATATAAACAATGATATATTAATTCTACTGAATATAGTCATCAGAAACTATATAAACAATAATATATTAATTCAGAACTATATAAACAATATATTAATTCAGAACTATATCAACAATAATATATTAATTCTACTGAATATAGTCATCAGAAACTATATAAACAATAATATATTAATTCAGAACTATATAAACAATAATATATTTATTCTACTGAATATAGTCATCAGAAACTATATAAACAATAATATATTTATTCTACTGAATATAGTCATCAGAAACTATATAAACAATAATATATTTATTCTACTGAATATAGTCATCAAAAACTATATAAACAATAATATATTTATTCTACTGAATATAGTCATCAGAAACTATATAAACAATAATATATTTATTCTACTGAATATAGTCATCAGAAACTATATAAACAATAATATATTTATTCTACTGAATATAGTCATCAGACGCAAGTCATTGATGGACGTTTGAAGCTCAATTTAGTAAAGGCACTTGGAGTGTAATGACATCAATGGCCGTGTTTTAGGTTTGGAATTAATCATCAAATTTTTTTTGTCTCAATTTAAAAGATGATATAGGTATATTGGGTAAACCAAAATGGTTAACCAAAAGATCAGGTAGCAAGGGTCCTCAGATCCAAGGCTGTCTTTCATCACAAATAAGTATAAAAAGATAACAAAAAGATGACAAAAAGCTGATAGCAAAATGCTTTTCTGACATAAAAATTTATAGTCTCACCTTATCAAATTCAAATTCATCTTGTACAGGAATAAGATGTTCCTTACACTGGACCACTGTATAATCTAAAAAAGAATGATTTATCTATGAGATACCCTGATGTACATTTTCACAAACAATACTGTTGAGAATATGAACACTAGTTTGATAAAGACTATAGCTATAAATAGAATATTGATATAGACTATAGATTGCATGCATGGTCAGTATTAGTATTATAAAGTTTGCAGTCATCCTTGCTAGTCATGTAACATGTGCTTGATGTCTTATATATAAATCTTATTAATGCAATAGCTGTTTTCATTCCATCCTGATGAACGAATGCCAGTCGGCCTCTGGTGATTCGACATGGTGTCAGAAGTGAACTTTCTAATTTTATAAAAGAAAGGAGAAGAAGCTGGAGCTAGAAAGTGACCATTATTAGATTGCGTCATATCATCGTTGTTGGAACATTAAATTAGTTCAAAAAGGATTTTATATTGTGGATAGAACATTCAATTGGTTCATAGTGCTTATAAAATATAAAGGATGGCAAAGCTGAAGCAACCGGAGAAATTCCATTTTGATCAACCTGGTGAATGGCCAGTATGGAAACAAACTTTTAGTCGATTTAGAATCGGAAGTAAATTACATAAAGAAGATGGAGATATTCAAGTAAGCGCTCTAATATTTTGTATGGGTGAAACTACTGAGAAAATATTTAAAACTTTTACATTTGATGCCGAAGAAGATAAAGATAATTATGATACTGTGATTGGAAAATATGATAACTATTTCATTCCAAGTAGAAACATTATATTTGAAAGAGGAATATTTAATACTATGAATCAAAATGAAGATGAAACAGTGGAATCGTATATCAGGAGATTATATGAAGCTAGTGAACATTGTGATTTTGAAGATTCCATTGATAGAAGAATTTTAGATAGACTTGTAGTCGGATTGAAAGATAAATCAGTGTCACTTAAATTAAAAATGGAACCAAATGATTTAACATTAGCTAGAGCAATAGAAATTGCTAGAAACACTGAACTTGTGAAAACGCAGAATAAATCGCCAATAAATACAGAAGATAATGAAGATCAGGCTATAGATGCAATAAAGCGTGACAGTAGAAGACCATATAAGACATGGAGACCAGGTTCACAGTCAAGATCAAATAAAACTAGACAAGGGAATATCCAACTCATATCATCAATCAGTGAGTAATAATCATGGA